TTTGTAGCCATAGTGACTCTGTATTGACCATCTGCTTTGTAGCCATAGTGACTCTGTATTGGCGATCTGTTTTGTAGCCATGATGACTCTGTATTGACGGTCTGCTTTGTATCCATGGTGACTCTGTATTGACGATCTGCTTTGTAGCCATGGTGACTCTGTATTGACGATCTGTTTTGTAGCCATGGTGACTCTGTATTGACGATCTGCTTTGTAGCCATAGTGACTCTGTATTGACGATCTGTTTTGTTGCCATAGTGACTCTGTATTGACCCTCTGCTTTGTAGCCATAGTGACTCTGTATTGACCATCTGCTTTGTAGGCATAGTGACTCTGTATTGATGGTCTGTTTTTTATCTATGTTGACTCTGTATGGACGATCTTTTTTGTAGCCATGGTGACTCTGTATTGACGATCTGTTTTGTTGCCATAGTTACTCTGTATTGACCCTCTGCTTTGTATCTGTATTGACCATCTGCTTTGTAGCCATAGTGACTCTGTATTGACGATCTGTTTTGTAGCCATAGTGACTCTGTATTGACCACCTGCTTTGTAGCCATAGTGACTCTGTATTGACCATCTGCTTTGTAGCCATAGTGACTCTGTATTGATGGTCTGTTTTTTATCTATGTTGACTCTGTATGGACGATCTTTTTTGTAGCCATGGTGACTCTGTATTGACGATCTGCTTTGTAGCCATGGTGACTCTGTATTGACCATCTGCTTTGTAGCCATAGCGACTCTGTATTGACGATCTGTTTTGTAGCCATGATGACTCTGTATTGACGGTCTGCTTTTTATCCATGGTGACTCTGTATTGACGATCTGCTTTGTAGCCATGGCTACCATGCATTGACGATATGATTTGTAGTCATGGTGACCCTGCGATTTGTAACGATCTGTTTGCATTAACAATTTTTTTTACCATGGTGACTGCATTAATTATCTTTTTTTGTAGCGTTGGTGACTCTGAGTGTGTGTGACATTTTGAACGCCTACCGAGAGTTTGTGATTTTTGGTGGATTTCTTGCCTGTCTCAGCTATTTCCTCAGCAGTTTTGTGGAAACTCCAGAGCTTCTCATCCTGACCATTGGTTTCATATTTGGTAATTAATTGAACACTTATAATGATTATTATTTCTAACCTAATACATATTTTTTGTTGAGACACACTAATACAGTTGAGACATTAATTACGATCACCATAATTTATCAAGTGTACAAAAGAAAAAAGACTTCGAGTGATAATTCAATTTTCTATGGCCTTTCATAGAGGATTACCGTGAAAGTACTCACACTGGCAAACAAATCCCACTTACTTGAAGTCCTCATAGCTCAATTGCATAGTATTAAAAAATAATACGTGCATTAATCAAATATCTTTAAACGAAACAAATCCTGTCTGGATGAATAACAATCAGTTAAGTCTTTTTCTCTGATTAATCTGGCCATGATATCATCAATGTGATCCTTGACGAGTAAACATTCTTCAGAACCAATTCATTTTCTAAAATGCTAATATATAACAAGAAAGAGGTTATTATACTGATATATTTTACAACAGGGACGTCTGCAGCTTTTGCTCATGGACCAACGACAGTGATGCTGGGAAAATACTTCGACAAAAGACGTGGAATGGCCAACGCTGTTATGAATTTTGGCGGGAGTTTCGGTGGTCTCGTGCTGCCAAACCTCTTCCGGTATCTATTGGATACGTATGCATTACAAGGGACGTTGTGGGTCGTCTCGGGATTGCTTCTCCATATCATGGTCACAGGAGCGCTTCTGCGGCCACTTAAACCCCACCCTCGTAAAAGAAATAAATTACTGGAGGAGAACGGCGAGAAAGATGCTCATAAAATGAAAGACCTCAACGAGGTCACCTACAAACAAACGCAAGTTAACAAAGCTTCCGTTGGTCACTCTTATGATAAACTGGTCACAAACCAGAGAAATAGAAATGCTCAAGGGTGGAATGACCGGAGGAATCAGATACTTCAAGCAGAGAGACGACGGACCGTATCGGATTCTGGAGTGGCTGGCCATGTTTACCCTGTAAAATCCCATTTCCACAAAAGCTCTGAGTTGCATCAAGGTATGGGGGACGCATTAGGCTCCCTAGGTAACATACATCTAACTGTATCGCCGGAAGACGACGAAGATAACTTTGAAGAAGATGATTCTTATGCTGCTCGATGTCATAAACTTACTTGCAAACATGTACTTGGAAGTATTCTCGATCTAAAACTATTGAAGAACAAAATGTTTGTGCTGAACTTGATATGTTCGATGTGTTCCGTGTTTGGCCTTGCTCTTATAGTGACGTATCTGCCCCACCACGCTAAGGACGTAGGTATGAGTGACCGGCAGATCACATTGTTACTTACAATAATCGGCAGTACAGATTTATTAAATAAACTCATATTAGTCTTCATAGCTGATAACAAGAAGATAAAACGACATTTTCTGGTGGCAGGCTGTTTAATTATTACGGGAGCTGCCACTGTTACCATTCCCTATTGCACCGAGTTCTGGTCTCTCGCTGTTTACTCAGTCATATACGGGATTTTCCATGGAACATTTTTTGCTATGCTTGCAGTATTAGTCGTCGACTTTGCAGGAATCGAGAACATCTCTCAAGGATTGGCAATAACCATGCTTAGTCATGGAATATCGATCTTTTCTATGAATCCTGTCATCGGTAAGTATACTGTTTGTTAATTAATGTGAAATAGATATTAGTCAGCGTGTAGAATTAAGGATATAACAGATGTTTAGATAGAGTTTCCACATAATACAATACACTTTATCACACACCTGTTTTGTCTTTCGAAGACTCAACAATGATGCTAGGGGATAAAACGTTGAAAATCAAAATTGGTCTAACTAATGATTAAACAGAAGGGGATGGGCTTGGGTAAAAACCTTTAATTACATAAAAGAAAAGATGATGTATGAAAACAATGAAGAGATGATGGATGTTGGTTCAACTTTCCTAAAGAAGCTGTTAGTTACACAGATTCGATATGTTCCTAAGAAAACAATGCCACTAATTAGTTTATTATATGAACGTTACACTTTGTTATACAATAGTTTGATTTTCTGATATGAACTGATTGTTTGTCTCCAAACGGTGCATCCAGAGTTGATAGTTCTTTTGCACTTCAATTGTCCAACAATCCGACGTCTCTTTATCCGGGCACATCTTGAATTTGTTTTTTAATCATTTTTTTTTCGTGGATATACCCTTTTAGGATGGCAGAGTATCACAAACTATAGTCAAGATTCGTAGTGTCTAAAATTTCGGTCAAGTGCCCCATTAACATAGCAAAGATTTGTGATTTTCGATGCTGAATATTAACTCGAAATAGAGTTCTATTGATTGTTTATTATTTCTAAACATTTTCCTCGGGTTAATAAGTATAGAGTTACAATTAGTACATGTTATTATGTTTGGCCATATATTGTTTTAACCGGAACATAATAAATATCATATTGTCCTTTTCAGTAACAACAACCGAATGTTATTTATTATAAAATAAAATATATAGGCAGACATGATAATGTTTTCCTTTGCCAGTTTTGTGATATTGCCATCTAGTAACCATATAATTATAATAAAGTAGGATGAAATTGAAGTGTTTTTCATTTGTCCACATATGTCACAGTGATCATTTGTCTGACCAGGTCTAGCCTTAACAAAACAGTGGCGTTTAAAGAATTACAGAACGTCGGCATTTAGGATTGCTCAGCTTTTTGCATATTTGGTCATCATTAATGTGTGCGTACATTGCGGTGATCATTCAGAGTTTGTCCGAAATAACTGATTTCCTTTATTGCCTTTCTGTATGTTTTTGCTAACAAAAATAAGATGACTGTGATATTAAAGCAATCCTGATAAAACGTTTTCATTAAAAGCCGTTCTAGGAAAATACATATATTAAATAATGGGGCTAGACCCAAGGGTGCATTCGTGATTGTGTTTGTTTCTCTATGCCAAGTTAGCACACATGTGTGGTTGTATGGTTGCAGGAATATCAAATACATATATTGCAATGTTATAAACATGTGCCAAGGCCTAAGGGGCGGGGCTGAACCTTGAACGAAATTGTTGTAGACTAAGTGTATATATATATATATTTTCATGACCAGCAATTACATAAATGGTAAGCCGTCTCTACTATTACCATGCAAATGCAATGACCAAGAGACTAAATCCTAAGGCATCAACATAAACAGCTGGCTATCATAAAATTATGAGTGTATTCGTCCTTTAACGCCAAGCCAGCACAGATATGGTCAAAGAGTTGAGATCTCAACCGTCCAATGATTTCATCCAGACACTTTGTCCCCCTGCCAATGTATCATAACTGTCTCTCCATGGTTATTGGGTGGGGAAATATAGGGGAGGTTTACTAAAATTGCTATATGTGTAAGAGGATCAATCATATCAGAACATTATTTTAAAAAGAGTAGCTCAAGCAATGTATACCAACAAATGGACCTAGCATATTCGTGATAAAGACTTTTTAAAAATGGACTCCGCGAAGGATTTGACGAGCAGACGTTCGGATAAAATGTGGAATTGCCCCAAAAGCAATAATGTCTCTTTGGACTCATGTGAATGTTTTCACTATAAAAGTTATTCTGCATCCAAAACAGTTGGATTTTTTTATTTATTAATATTATAAATATTATGTTTCATTCTTCTTCTTTTAATAGGTGTTTGTGGGACTTCTGTAATGGTCCCCCATTACAAATATTACTTGTTGTTTTATGTAAATCCTTTCCGAGATGTGTTATTAGTTATACTTTTTATTTTATGCAGGAGCTATCCGCGATAATCTCCATTCATACAACCCAGCATTCTACCTCATGGGGAGCTTTATGCTTTTTGGGGGATTTCTTCTGTTCCTTGAACCAAAGATACGACGCTATGAAGAAAGAAAAAAGAAGGAAGAAATTCAAACTGAACTATAACATACAATTTTAGTGCGGTAAATCAAGTACATGTACCATGTATCGCTAACTGTATGTTTCCGCCTTTATTCGCGGGGATTGAAATTCGCGAATTCAGATATTCATTATTTAAGACACAAAAGGGCTTATTTATATTGTTGAAATCTTAAGAAATGTTTTAATTTTGGAATATGTAGGATTACATACTGTTGCATTTACGACTTTTGTTATAGAATATCATCGACGTTTGCTGCAAATATATTTTTTTAATATTTTTGTTTGAGAAAAAAAGGACTTACACATTATCATATTTTGAATAAAATATTTGTTTAAACCTGTTGTCATGTGTCATTTAGCTACTAGTTCCAATATATGTTTTATTCAGTTGGTTGCACATTCGTTGAAACATTTTGTTAAGCTACCAGTTTATTAAACGTTAATCAGGTATTTAAACTGTTAAAATAATGATTATACGTTAATTGATATGTTAAACTTAATCCGATACAGATAACTCATATCTGATACATTAAATGTTAATTTGGTATATAAAAACTTAATCAGAAATATTAACATAATTTGGGAGACAAAATGCTAAATCTGTTACATAAGCATTCATTTAAAAGATCAAATTTTAATGTCACCTTTAACACTTATCTAAGCGATAAAAAGTTAATCTGTTACATTAAACACTCACGTGAGAGACTCAATATTAATATGTAATCTTAATACTCATCTGAAACATTAAATGTTAATCTCACATTAAACGATCAGCTTGGAGTTTTCACTTCAATATGTTACCTTAAACACTCCTCTGATTTATGAAACATTTATCTGTCATCTTAACCATTCATCTGAGAGTTTAAACATAAAATTGTTACCTTAAACACTCATTTGAGAGACAAAACATAATATGTTACATTAACCACTCATCTGATAGATTAAACTTTGCACTCAGGAAATAGCTCATGTTTTCATCATCACAAAAACCAAAGTAGGATTTTACGTACGATGTAAGACAATGCATATGTCATATTATCTCTTGCTGAATTTAAAGAATATTTCATGTCGTTAAAAATATAGTACATGATAATACAGATTTTTATTATGCTAAAGTTATTTTAGGAAAATAACCTATTCTTTGTTTTAATTTTAAAACGAATTTCCATGTAAGAAGTGTTTTCTTTTTATCTTAAAAGCTCAACATCATTTTAATAGATGTTGTATTTGTTCATTTACAAATAATACACAACATTTATTGTTTAAGCCTTATTTATAGTAATATAAAAACATAAACAAATATAACTGATAATAACAACGAACATCCGATTGTAATTAGAAAATGTATATGCAATAGGGAAGAACAAGTAAAATAAATCGAAAGATATAATTTACATAATTGAACAGTGACCAATAACTCAAATAATATTGTTCTTTGATTCTATTATTCTCTTATAGCATAGTAACAAGATGTAACTGCGATTTAATTTTCTTTCAACATGGTGCTTTTTATTTTACACAATGCTTTCCGACGTCATCTGACATTGTGACGTCATCGTTCATGACAACCGTTTCCCTGATTGGAAACAGGAATAATTTAATCCCAAGGGAAACATATGGTTTAGACATAAACTCTGAACGCTAAGTGAGAAAAGATTCCCTAACTCTTACTGACTGATTATCATGTTTATCTTACTCTCATTAGTGAATTTTCAAATTGTTAACCTCGTGTCCTTATACAATATGAACCTTCACTAACTCGAGTTAGATAAACACGATAACCAACAATCACTCCCTCGGGAAACTATATTAATCATAGCAATAAGACACGGCAAGACAAACTCCTAAACTAACGTTGACTTGGTGTAACAATATCAGGAACCGAGGCGACGGTGATATGACAAACAAAAGACCAATAGCTATTTGGACTGGCGTATTGTTGACATTCTAATTACCTTAGCTTTCCACTTAGTCTAATTAACTTGACCGTGTTTACATTGTATTGAAAACAAAACTAAAGAAAAAACTGACAATGCTATTTTGGTATACATTGAAATTCTATTTCGTAGGCATCAAATTTCATATTCGTTTACAAAATACGTCATTACCCAACTGAAGATACAGCTTCCATTTTCACTACCCCTATTTGAATTCCCAACATCGCATGTGTGACATTGTGTTGTATACTATAATGTACAGAGCAACAACATAAAACGACAGAGAGGTGATCTTTAGCATTAGAGGACACCATGTGTTTATGTCTTTCTTCTTTGTGGAAACTGTCCTTGATCGACATATTGAATAAATTTCAATATTGTCTCGCAATATGAATGTCTGACAACTCTAAAACTGCTGGTGACGCAATTCATACTTACTACCAAAATCATAAGTTAACATTGTCAGCAAAGGTAAGGTAGTGGAAGGTGTGTGCTATTCCCATTGGCACACGCTAGTCTTGAAATAGACTGGCGTGGCTATATGATATCGGGTCGTTCAAGTCTAACATTGAGGAGAGAGGGTCGTTCCGGTTATTGTCTCTGCGCGAGCACACTGTGAATAGGCATATTATCTACACTGTGAGTTTGGTTAGTTTGGTTTGTTAGTGTTTTACGTCCTATAAACAACTATGGTCATTTGAGGACGTGCCATGTTTTGGTGGCGGAGAAAAGTCGAATACTCGTAAAAAACACACCCACCTGCGGCCAGTAGGTCATTAATTTAAAAACAGTTCAATTGGGTTGGAATCAGTCATGGATGTCACTCACAATACAAATAAATGGACTGGTTAAACACAAAGCCATATACGTATTTACATGTACATGTTCCCGGGTAGCAGGTAGATATATAAACGATATACAATTACGTAATACACACATGCATATTGACTTCTAAGTAGTAGTTATTAGCATATCTATACATTAAACTGATTGTAAAACTCGTTATGGATACTTGAGTTTGTCTCTTAACGTTGTGTTGTTGTGTAGTGTTTAATTTGGTTTGAATTGAACTGTTTGATAAGCATGACGCCACACAGATGAGAAATTATTGCAAAGGTAAGTCAAGTATTTAAAGAATGATTTCGTTTTGGGGTCAGTGTCAGCAAAGTAGTGGAAGGTGGGTTGTAGACTGGCGTGGCTATATAATATTGGGTCGTTCACGTTTACCATTGTCGAGAGAGGGTCGTCCGGATATGTTTTTTTCGCGAGTCAATAAAAAACAAAAATACAAAACAAAAACAAAAACAAGAAAAACGATATGCTCACAAACCAAAAAGATAGAACCTAGCCATGAGCTACATATAGGAGCAGGCGCTGGGATAGACACATTTCCAGTAAAAGTCACGGCAGCGATCTTGATTCTCCTGTGAAATAGCATCAGTGAATTTATTTACACTGTGGGACATGCATACCTTCTTTATTTACATTGTAGCATGTACTACAGTTTCAAGTCTTTATAATAGTTGTTGTCGGAATTTTTACATGATAATGTTGTTCAAATGCATAATGTTGTATTCGTGATTCCAAAAATGGTTAAGTACCATATAACAAAGTTTAAAAACAGATGGTTCCTATATATTTCCGTGAGGAGTACACCGGCTGTCCGAGCGTTACCTCTCGAATCAGAATACTGATCCGGCCGAATGTATGTTTCTAACTATTTATACACCAATTTATACCTAAGATAAGTATCCATGTTGCTGTGTGTAGCAAGTGTCATTATTTATAAAATATTATGTAAAACTGTACGTAGGTAGAAGATATCAGATAGCCTAAAGCTTATATAACAATGATAGGGACTCCTATTTAAAATAACCTGTGCAAGTATTTATTACTCTAGCTTAAGTGCAGCAGGAAGACAATAGGATAATAATTATAAGGCAATGGAAACATCATTAAACAAGATTGATACGATTCAGATTTGACAAGAACGAAATATTTTCCTTGAGGCGTATCACCGGTAGACATTAGTTATCAGTTGTGAAAAAATGTACATCTTTAAACCTATTTGGCATATACAATATAATCAAACAGTTAAAGACAAAATTGATATTGTGTTAAATGTTCCGAAGTTAATTTAACGTTCCGTTTGAATTTGTCTCACGTTTTCACAATCTCACGTGTAACACATTACTTCTACTGAAGCACTCTAGCGCACTCGCTCTTACTAGTGCATAAGCAGAATTAAACTAGAGTCTAAGCCGGCATTCTTGTAAACAAAAATGGAGGTTTAGAACTAATGACAGACAACCCTGTTACTGAACAAGTGTTGGTTATATCCAGGGGTTGTTCATTTTCATTTTAAAGATTGAATTGGTCAGATAGACATTTGTCATAAATGTCACATGCATTAGGGCAGCACTGAGTGATCGGGTCGGTTAAACATAAAGCTACCCATGTCATTGTGTGTGTACCGGTACAGCCGGAAAACACGGTAAGTTATAGACACATACATACTCCATTTTAAGCAGTAGATATTAGCATATCAAAACACTGCATTGATTGTAAAAATCGATATGTATACACAAGTTAGAATTTGTTAACGTGTACATGGATCTGTTTCCCTTATATGATGCCACAATTCTGTAAAGGTTGTTGTCAGCGTCAGCAAAGGTAGTGGATGGTGTGATATTGGTGACCTCTCACTGGTACAAGGTTAGCTGTTGCAGGTCTTGAAATAGACTGGCGTGGATGTATTAGGTACTTCAAGGTTACCAGTGTCGAATTATGCAGATAATTGTGCGGAATGAGGTCTCTCTGACAGGTAAATCAATTTTTGTTTTCATCAATCCATTTAAGATAGCTTTACTCTCTACAATTGCACAGCCCATCACACAATCAAAGCATTTGTTGACCTTCAACATTAACACTAGGTCACAGTTGATCCGTTTATGTTATCCGTTAGCGTCAAACCAGTCTCCTGATCTGGCCGTGATAACAACTGTTGACAGTTTGTTGAACTGTCCTACCAGCTAGAGAGGCCGTGTCTCTGTTCACATAACAAAGGATCGGCAACCGACTGCGTAGTATCGGGAACTATCTGGAGCACTTTAACAAGCGACGCACAATTTTGTGAGTATGTGTAAGGACTTGCTTGATGCACCTTTTTATTCCGTTTTATTCTATTAAAACAAATTGCATAAATGCTATTTTTTAAGTTCATCAAATCGAATCTTAATTATATATAACCGCCTGCACTTTTTCCATAAATGATACAGTACTATTTTAATGCAACGCTATTATTGTCAACGATATTTATTTTAATATTAGTCTTGTATACGTCATTCCATTCACACAGCTTCGGTGTGTGTTTCATAGTCAGATTGAAATAAATGGCGGCGGCTTGCCCGTTGATGCATCCATTACCCCATTAGCCGGTGCGACCCGTTGCCACTTCCTACGACGAGGACCTTAAACTTAGACTTTAAGAAGTTTGTCCTTATATGTAGATCTGTTTTTAGTTTATTTTCCTGCTAGACTCAGGGTTAGCTTATTATCCGTCTAGACCCTGCATACGATTATTGTCTGTGTAGACATGTTATTAGTTTATAAAGACATCAATATCAGTTTATCATCCTGCCAGAACAGTATAAGTTTGTCATCGTACTAGACCAAGTATTAGTTAATTATCCTACTAAACTCAGTATAAATGCATTAGCCTACTAGACCCTGTATTAAGTTTATCATTCTTCTAGACCCAGTATTAATTAATTATCCTACTTCACCCAGTATTCATGTATTAACATACTAGACCCAATGTTAGTTTAATTTATCCGACTAGACCCAGTATTAGTTAATTATTCTACAACTAGTTTGTTATCTTACTAATTCCAGTATTATATGTTATCCTTCTAAACCCAGTACAGGTTCATAATCCTACTAGACTAGACATTCTTCATTTTTCTTCTATACCTAGTATTAGTTTATTATCCTACTAGACCAGGTATTTTTGTATTTTCCTTCTAGACCTGATATTAGTTTATTATCCTACTAGACCATGTATTTTTGTATTTTCCTTCTAGACCTAGTATTAGTTTATTATCCTACTAGACCAGGTATTTTTGTATTTTCCATCTAGACCTGGTATTAGTTTATTATCCTACAAGACCAGATATTCTTTATTTTCCTTCTAGACCGAGTATTTGTTTATTATCCTACTAGTCCTGATATTTTTATATTCCTTCCAGACCGATTAGTGGTTTATTATCCCTGTAGACTAAACATTATTGATTGATCCCACTACGCCCAATCTCTTACTGTATACATTTATAAATCATGGAAATATATTCAAATCACATTACTAGTTTCAGATTGGTAATCGTACTGTGACATAAAAAAGTGTATCTATCGAAATACAAATCATGAATAATGTATGTTTCAAACTATTACTGGTATAGCTCTGAACAGCTGGCGAACGACCTGTTTACGGAAGAGAAGGGCAGCTCGTTTCATATACAGTATGCATGCAGTGAGTACAATGATGTTATCAACATAACCATTTGTTCCTAAAAAAACGTTTACATGTACATTGTCTATGTATGTTCGGTGACGATCCAAATCCTGTAGTTTTGTGTATGACCATGTACAGGTAAATATGTGCATTGCTAATTTCTACACGTTATATATATAAATATATTGGGAGATATTTCAACCTTCTATGGCCTCTGTTCTCTAGGTTGTTTCGTATACACAAAATGGTATCATACCATGGATCAAACTTGTAGTAATACACAAACTCCAAAATAACCAAACCCGTTCTTATTTAAGGAACATTACGCAGAAATAACACGAATATAATAATGGTTGAACATCAATGTTTACAGTATCGACGACGGAAGCCATCGGAATAACGACCCACAAAAGCCAATATATACCGGTAAAATGTTTACATATTACAACGCCCAATTCGGAAATATGGATCTTGTACATTGTTTGACGATTCACCAACTGCAATAAAAGGGTGGCGAAATAAAGCAGAGATATCTGTGTCTAAGCAACTGTTAACGGTTTAAGAGCGATATTTAATTTGGATTATTTTGATTTGACACAAGGGACACATTGTTCGTTCTCGGTCATATATCGACGGGCAATATGAGAAGATATTTAAAAAAACAACTACAAGAAACACATGTTGTTGACAATAATACACCCATTCTATGTTATTTAAACTATTAAAGGTAGTTCCCCTTAACTCCGTTAACATCTCTCCTTCCTTTGATGAAACAAAATCTACGATTTTATTTTACATTGGGTGACATTTTAAAATAAATAATTGTGCATATGTAATTAAACATATTTTCACTGTTAATATTCTTTATCTTTCAAGACCAAACACATGTGAAAGTGGAAGTGGAAGAAAGATAGTGTGAGAGATATTGTGATATGTGTTTATATCTTCTTTATATAAATTTCTATACATATAAATCCGTGTAATTAACCCCAGCGAAGAAAGAAAATACCCTTTTAATCATGCATGTACATTAAGCATAAAATATGTTCAAAAGCTCAGAACAGTCATCAAAGTTGAAATATACAAACATAAATGAATAATATCAATCTAATACGCTACTTTATCAATCTAACCCTTCACGTAATCAACTTTGTATTTAATCAAAATCCATGTTTGAATTTGGCATACTTCGCGCATACGTGTATTTGTATGCCTGGGGACAGATGCATCAGCCATGTATTATACTTAACTAGGCATTCCAGACAAGATGTGTATGAGGCCAGGGGAGACAAGTGTATGGGTGCCTGGAATAATTATCACCAGCATTCTATCTTATTCTATGTTAACTTAAAATGAGTAAAAAGTGTGTGGAAGCCTGTACACCCTCCTATGTCGAAGACATACTACTGTTAGAGGCTGAACCTGGGGCCCTTTCACCCTGCCAGTCTCTTTTCTTTCTCTGACGAGGAAAATAAACAGATTTATATTCTTTATCTTTATCTGAGTTTTGTTCTCAATATTTAATATTTAACCAAGAACGAAACCTCAGATTACGGCTCGGCAGTAGTGAACATGTTACAGATATATATGTAGTCCCATATACGCCGTGACATATTTTGTAATCTATTTTAGAAATTCAGTATGAAACGTTACAATCATTACTAATATAGATACCTAAGGTGTGACAATATATATCAGCCTTATACCAATACAAATTGAACACCACATAACTCATACCTTCTTTTCCATTTGAGTACAGCAATGCTACCCAAGGTTAACAACCTCCGCTCCTGATATTGGACGTGTGAGCGGTCTTGCCCTAAAGACGTGATGACTATATACAACAAACGAGGACCCGCCCCTATAGACAAAGGGTGGTCGTGGGTCGTTATGTCTGGTAAGTAAGAATATTTACTTGAAGGACCCCTGTACCACTGTCAAAACTTAAACTGTGAACTAGAAGAGACTTGTATATATACGATTTGGATATTGTTTAACGATATTGATAGAGATGAAACAAAAAATCAACAACGGTAAGATAAAATAAAACATTCTTAATAGGATTTGGACCATGAACCTCTGACAACAATACGATTCAACATTAGTCACCTGGCTCAGTCGCACTACGGCGTTATGCAAAATAGGAGGTTTCTGTATATATGTAAAACTATATTGGAATCATCTAGTGTTTCGTCTGTTAAACAGTATTAAACAAGAATTGGTGACCCACTCAAGTAACTCAAACAAAAAACTGTGTTCACTTATGATATCAAATAACTGGGATATATATCATTATTCCAGTGGTCATGTTTTACCTACTTTATCTAATGACTGTGACATTTATCATTATTTCAGCTGTAACGCTTTACTTGCTGTTTCAAATAACTGGGATATCTATCATTATTCCAGTGGTCATGTTTTACCTACTTTATCTAATGACTGTGACATTTATCATTATTTCAACTCTCATGCTTTACTTGCTGTTTCAAATAACTGTGATATTTAACATTGTTCCAGCGGTCATGCTTTACTAATTATATCAAATAACTGTGATATTTAACATTATTCCAGCGGTCATGCTGTCAACATTTCTTGAGATGGGATTGTACAAATCGTTTGGAATATTTTTTGTCGAGTATGTTGAAAAGTTTGGATCGAGTGCTACGATGACGTCAGTGATATCAGGAGTGTATTTGGCAGGATACAGCTTTGTGGGTAAGCTTTATTGATATGTTTATTAACAATCGTAATTATGTGCATGGGTAGATAGATGTGCATCTTGTTTTATATTAGTTCTTTAATCACACTTATACTATTTGATTGTGCCGGCCAAAATGTACTTAAAAATCTATTAAAGTATTAGTTTCTACATTTTGTGCATAATGTCCTCAGTCTAGCTTAATTAGATTATTGGAGAAGTTGATAATATTGAATTCGAAGATATCATGAATATTTATTGAGTGGCAATTAAAGCGATTGCGATCTGCTAATGTTATACCCTTAATTCATTTCACGCCAATATCGGAATGATATGTTCACGACGAATAATTGTTAATTTATAAACGTTTTAATAATCTTATTTCCGTTTGATGATACTTAAGTTTTGGATTTTGAAATAAATATTTAATACAAGAAAAATTAATGTTATTCCGTATCAGTTCATCCTTCGCGATATAGTGGTAGATTTTACTGGTGATTTGCTATACCGTTGCTTGCCACAGTTATACCTTTTGAGCAGTGACACGACTCGTAATATACAAACTCCACTCATTAATAATTTGAAATGAACCAGTACTCATTTACCTTTTTAAATGGAAAACTAAGGTGTTTTCACACACATCCCCTTCTGTATCAACAGTAGTTAGATCAATTTCACTACCGAGCCAGAGAAGGATGAACCAGATGGATGGTGCAGCGTAATTCATTTCGGTAAACTGTTGTTTTGTTTGTTTTTTAGGTATGTTTTTTTATGACTGCTAGGTTTGGGTCCCTGGAGTCAGTCCCCGTACAATAGGTTGTCCACTCGCAGGAGGGGATTCATTCAACGCTCTGATTAACTTCCATGACATAACACATATGCATAGTAACCTGACGTACCATGATATAATATAATCATTATTTAACACGCATACATACTATCTCTCATTTCCTTACACATATGCATACAACCATGACATACCTAATATATTATACTGAATTTCCTAACACACATATTCTCATGACATATATACATATAATGCTTCCTGCATGGTAACTACATTATCGTAAAAGCAAATCAAATAACAGATATTAACATAAATTCTTATTAAACGTGACTAATGATATTTTGGATACATATATATACCAAAAGCCGTATTACCAGGCTGAAGTAGTCGATATACTGTTTCTATTACCAAATGTTCATACCTGTATGTGTGCTTCGCTCTTTTGTCTCTTGTAATGACTTTCCTGGGGTAATTTGTTATGTTTTAGCGCTAATTATGATGACGTACGGACTCGGTAGGATCAGCTGTCGACAATCTGTGATGATAGGCGGTGTCTTCATTTCTATCGGTTACCTTGTGTCCAGTTTGGCCACTACCATAGAAATTGTCATCCTCGCTCAGGGAGTGTTCACTGGTTTGTGATATTTTTATGACATATTTTATCATTTGTTAATTGATGATAATGTTTGGACTTAAAATCCGGATGATTTTAAATAAATGTGCTTTCAGGGTTCGCACAACTAAATCATTTACATCTACAAAAGACATTGTATGGTGAGTTTGGTGGCATACTAAGAGCGCTAAATGCGTCTGCTTTTGAAATCGGAAGTTTACAAGCCAAACCGGTGATGTGGGACGGGAACCCCACCCCACCCCCCC